TGCCTTGGTCCAGTTTCATGGACGGCCTCTCTTGTCTGCCCTCTTCGGTGGCCTGACCCTCCTTGGCTTCAGGAAGAAGGAGAAGGGGACGGTCTGGCTACCCAAGGCTCCCGGAGAGAGCCCGAGAGGAGGAGCCTGCGTTTCCCTCGCAGTGAGGCCACCAGGGAACAGTGCGTGTGTGTGTCACCACCTGGCCGTGTGCGCTGACCACAGCCACGTGGGGGGTGAGCGCCCTCTGCTCTCGGGCTGGGGACAGCCCCTTCCTTTACAATTGGGTCCTGCCCTTATGACCTTGTCCTTGGTCCACCACATGCGCGCCCCCCCAAACACAGCCTCCACTCCTTCCAGGTGGCTAGACCGTGCGCAGCTCCCGGCTCCCTGAGCCAAGGCCTTAATCTTCACTGTCACATCGTCAGGATGAGGGTGGGGCACTGGGGACAGGAGCTGGGCATGGAGCCTCAGTCTGACTCTGTCCTCTTGGTCACAGTCTTGGCCGAGATCTTGGCTCCCTCCCCTCCTGGGGGGCAGGACTGGAGCCATCACCACGTGCTGCAGCAGCGTGGATCTCAGGCCATGGCAGCTTCCCCACCTCCACGTCTCACACCTCTCTGTCTCCTCAGCCATAGCCAGACGCATCTCATGCGCTGGTCACTCTATGCGTCGCCCGCTCCCCAGCCCATCACTGTTGTGTTAACCGGTGATGCCCAGCCGCTTAGACCGTGCTGTGTGCTGGGTACTTGGAGTCTTACATGTATTGACCCAGTTAATCTTCACATCAGCCTTGGAGGTCACCATGACCACATGCTTCTCGGCGTGAGGAGACAGAGACAGGGTGAGGTTCAGGGCTGGGGCGTCTGCAGCCCGGGCACCCAGGGGTGGCTCCACTCTTTCCTTCGTGCCTCTCGATGACTTCTTCACATGAGCTGAGAAAAATGGCACCTTACAGGGAGCTCGAAGGGCCGCCAGATGAGAAGGGGCCCATCGAGATGCTGCCGTCTTAGCCTTTGAAACATTTCACTTCAGTCCTCACGTAAGGAATTCCTGACGTTTTTAAATGCCCAATTCTTCCCACTCTGCGCAGGGGTCCCTCCTCCTGCCCTGCAGTGGTACAAGGATGCTGTGCCCGTCAGCGCACTTCGGAACCCTCGCTACCAAGAGCTCCCCAGCGGGGACTGCGCATCCAGAAGCTGCGTCCCGAGGACTCTGGGATCTTCCAGTGCTTTGCCAGGAACGAGGGCGGGGAGATCCAGACCTGCACCTACCTGGACGTCACCAGTGAGTACTGCCCGGTGGCAGAGCCAGGCCCCTGAGTGACCCTCACGCCCCGGCTTCCCAGCCTGTACCCTGTAGACACACGAGAAAATGCTCGTATCTGCTCAGCCCCTGAGGTAGGCGGACAGGGTGCTGTGGCCGGAGGGGGCCCGCAGGAAGGGCCTCACCTCAGGCACCACGAAACCCACGTGTGGGTCCCCTGTGGAAGCTCCCCCGACGCCCGGGAGCAGCGGACACACCAGTGGTCCCCATCCCAGGCGTCCCCCAGCCCTGGCTCCTCTGGCTCTCGATTTCCCTCGCACTTGAGGGCA